TAATTTGATAAACAGTATGATTATAAAAAAAAAAATTAATAATAATACGGCAAGTTTGTAGACATCATAAAATTATTAAAGCTATCAAATATCAAAGACCTTATATTATATATATTTTACTTCCCAAAGTACAAAACCTGAGCTTGGAGATAAATGAAGTTTATCCCTGCGTTGTTTACACATATTTCTATGACAATGTTGTGGTTTCAGAATTTCTTTTTGTATTGGTTCACAGATTCACATTGAAGTTTGACCTTATATTTATTTTCTGGTCTGACCCAGTTTGACCTTCTCAATCCACCAACTCTCTTTAATCCCCATTCCCATCCTTCATTTAAGAACACTGTGTTCAATAGCACAGTTGCAGCTGCAGCTTGGGCGGTCATTTATGGCTTTTCTTCATCTTCAAACCTGACAAAGCCGTTTTCTCATTCATCACTCTCTTATCTCTTCTCTTCTTCATCCTTTTCAAGACGTCTTAAATCGACCTGCAAGTGCCTACTTCCTACTCAATCAAATCCTCAACCAGACATGTAAATAACGTGATATTGACGCTGTTACTGATACAATATACGTTCAATACGATTGGTTTCACTTGAGGACTTTTTCTGTTTATCATCAAACCTCTTTAATGCTCACCATGCAAAAGTTTTGAGAGTTTCTTGCATTCGCAAAAATGGCTATGGCTATGGCGACGTTAAAAGTACAATTCATTTTTTCTCTTTTTATCGTTGTTTCTATGTGTTTTTTACATGGGAATGTCCAGGGTTCAGAGTTTTCAGTTCTTGTGGAGATAAAGAAAGCGTTTTCAGAGGATGGAAATGTTCTACAGGATTGGAATGAAAGCAACCGAAATTTCTGTACATGGAGTGGCGTAACCTGCGGGCTGATCAACTCGGTTGACGGCTCGGTTCATGTTGTGAGTCTAAACCTTTCTGGCTTGTCACTCGGTGGTTCCGTTTCTCCCTCGCTCGGTCGTTTGCAAAACCTGCTCCACCTTGATCTTTCTTCCAACAGCCTCACGGGTCCCATTCCAACTGCTCTTGCAAACCTTTCTTCGTTGGAATCTTTGCTTCTTTTCTCCAACCAACTCAGTGGAACAATTCCGACTCAACTCGGCTCGCTCACGAACCTCCGAGTATTGAGACTCGGTGACAATGAGCTTAGTGGTCCCATTCCTTCCTCTTTTGGTGGTCTTGTCAATTTGGAAACTCTTGCATTAGCGTCATGCAGTCTCAGTGGACCGATACCGCCAGAACTGGGTCAGCTGACTCAGCTTGAGAATTTAAACTTGCAGGAGAATCAATTCCAGGGGCCGATTCCTGCTGAGTTGGGAAACTGTTCGAGTCTGTTTAGATTCGCGTCAGCTAATAACAATCTCAATGGCTCAATCCCAGCTGAATTGGGTCGTCTCAAGAATCTCGAGCTTCTCAACTTGTGTAACAACAGTCTTTCCGGGGAGATACCGAGCCAACTCGGTGAGCTGAGTCTACTCACCTACTTGAATTTCATGGGTAACCAGCTTGAAGGTCCAATCCCGAAGTCGTTAGCCAATCTGGGTAATCTTTATAATCTCGACTTATCGTTTAACAGGCTCAGCGGAGGCGTTCCGGAAGAGTTCGGCAAAATGGGTCAGCTTGTTTATTTGGTTTTATCAACTAACAATATATCCGGTACGATTCCAAGAAGTTTATGTTCAAACAATACCAATTTGGAGAACTTGGCGTTGTCAGAAATTCAACTTTCTGGTGAAATTCATGTGGAATTGAGCCGGTGTCAATCGCTAAAACTTCTGGATTTGTCCAACAATACTCTCAATGGATCAATCCCAATTGAGATTTTTCAGTTGGCTGAATTGAATTACCTATATCTCCACAACAATAGCTTGGTGGGTTCAATTTCTCCATTCGTCGCTAATCTCAGCAACCTGCAAGAACTTATACTGTTTCATAACAATTTGCAAGGGAAGCTGCCTGGAGAGATTGGGATGCTTGGAAAGCTGCAAGTTTTGTATCTATATGATAATCAGTTATCTGGAGAGATTCCTGAAGAGATTGGCAATTGTTCAAGCTTACAAATGATTGATTTTTTTGGAAACCGTTTCAGTGGGGAGATTCCAGGCACTCTTGGGAGGTTAAAAGAGCTGAATTTTCTTCACTTGAGGGAAAATGAACTTCTTGGTCCAATTCCCGCCAGTTTGGGTAACTGTCAGCAACTGCAAACCCTGGACTTGGCCGACAATGGTCTCACTGGTGGCGTTCCTGAAACTTTTGGGCGTTTGCAGGCTCTGAATCAGCTCATGCTTTACAACAATTCACTTGAAGGTAATCTTCCTGATTCTCTGATCAATTTAAGAAACTTGACCAGGATAAATTTCTCCAGGAATAGATTGAATGGTAGCATAGCTGTGTTGTGTAGCTCGCATTCTTTTCTATCTTTTGATGTCACAAACAATGCATTTGATCATGAGATTCCTCCTGAGTTGGGGAATTCACCGTCTCTTGATAGGTTAAGATTGGGGAACAACAAATTTAGTGGGAAAATCCCATGGACTCTGGGGAAAATTCGTGAATTGTCGTTGTTAGACCTCTCAGGCAATTCACTCACTGGTCCTATACCGGAACAGCTTTTGTTGTGCAAGAAATTGGCACATATTGATCTCAATAATAATCATTTATCGGGGCCTATTCCTTCGTGGCTTGGAAGTTTGCCTCAGTTGGGTGAGCTGAAGCTCTCCTTGAATCAGTTTGTTGGGTCTATTCCTAGGGAACTTTTCAATTGTTCGAACCTGCTTGTGCTTTCTCTTGATGGCAATTTGCTTAATGAGAGCCTGCCTGATGAGGTTGGTAACCTGGAATCGCTTAATGTTTTAAACCTGAATGACAATCTATTTTCTGGGCGAATCCCTCCCGCCTTAGGCAAACTTAGCATGCTTTATGAGCTTAGGCTCTCGAATAACAGCTTCAATGGTGAAATTTCTTCTGAGCTTGGACAACTTAAGAATCTTCAGAGCATTTTAGACCTCAGTCACAACAACCTCACTGGCAAAATCCCGCCTTCTATTGCAACTTTGTCGAAGCTTGAAGCGCTCGATCTTTCTCACAATCAACTAGATGGAGAGGTCCCTCCACAGGTTGGTGAGATGATTAGTTTGGGCAAACTCAATCTGGCTTATAACAATCTTCAAGGCAAATTGGGCAAACAATTCTCCCACTGGCCAGCTGCGGCATTTGCAGGAAATCTTCGTCTTTGTGGTAGCCCTCTTGATCGCTGCAATAGCCGTGTGCACAACCAGCAGCCCACCATAAGTGAGTCATTGGTTGCAGTGATCTCAGTAATTTCAACATTAGCTGCAATTGCTCTGCTGATAGTTGTAGTTGCTCTTTTCTTGAAACGCAAGCGAGAATTTTTTGGCAAGGGAAGTGAAGTGAACTGCACTTACTCTTCCAGTTTTTCACAAGCACAGCGAAGACTACTCTTCCAAGCTGCAAAGCGCGATTTCAAATGGGAAGACATCATGAAAGCCACAAACAATTTAAGCAATGATTTCATTATCGGTTCAGGAGGGTCCGGAACAATCTACAGAGCTGAACTGTCTAATGGAGAAACGGTGGCAGTTAAAAGAATTGCCTGTAAAGATGATCTTCTACTGAACAAAAGCTTCACAAGAGAAATTCAGACACTCGGAAGGATAAGGCACCGGCATCTAGTGAAACTGATGGGTTATTGCTGCAACAAAGCAGCAGGTTCAAATCTGTTGATATACGAGTTCATGGAGAATGGAAGTGTGTGGGATTGGCTGCACAAACAAGCGGAGAATGCCAAGAAGAAGAAGAGCCTTGATTGGGAGGCGAGGTTGAGGATAGCAGTGGGATTGGCTCAGGGAGTTGAGTACCTTCATCATGACTGTGTACCAAAGATTGTTCACAGGGACATCAAATCTAGCAATGTGTTGTTAGATTCAAACATGGAGGCACATCTGGGGGATTTTGGACTGGCAAAAGCTCTTGTTGAGAACTACGACTCCAAAACAGAATCAAATTTATGGTTCGCTGGGTCCTATGGTTACATTGCTCCAGGTAATGAATCTGTTTTAGCTTTGCTATAAACTAATGCTAGTGCTTTCGAGTTTGTCATGTCATAAATCCTAACGAATATTTTGGTTGTGTTTTCAGAGTACGCTTATTCACTAAAGGCGACAGAGAAAAGTGATGTTTACAGTCTGGGAATTGTGCTAATGGAGCTTGTTAGCGGGAAAATGCCAACTGATGCAACCTTTGGGGAGGAAATGGACATGGTGAGATGGGTGGAGAAGCATTTCGAGATGTCAAGCTCTGAACGTGAGTACCTGCTCGATGCTCAAATGAAGCCACTTTTACCTGGTGAAGAATGCGCAGCGTATCAGGTGCTAGAAATAGCACTGCAATGCACAAAAACTGCACCACAAGAGAGACCATCGTCCCGGCAAGTGTGTGATAACCTTGTGCATGTATTTAACAATAGGATGTTGGACTTCGGCAAGATGACATAGATTCTTTTACATTGCTAATGGAGTTTGATTGATGAATGTCAAGGTTTGATGTCAAATAAGGAGAGTGGGAAAAAAAAAAAAAAAAAAAAAAAAAATTTAGAGCAATCTTTGATTTAGTAGATTTTTGGAGTAGTAACCTTCGTTGCAACGATGATGTTCTGATGCTTACAAAGCATATCTTAGCCCAGATGTAACATTAGACGTCTTCAGGATCACCTATAAGAGTTTATGGATGTCAAATAAATATAATAAAATTAATTTGATAAACAGTATGATTATAAAAAAAAATTTAATAATAATACGGCATTAATATGCATAAGCTTGTAGATATCATAAAATTATTAAAGCTATCAAATATCAAAGACCTTATATTATATATTTTTTACTTCCCAAAGTACAAAACCTGAGCTTGGAGATAAATGAAGCTTATCCCTGCGTTGTTTACACATATTTCTATGACAATGTTATGGTTTCAGAATTTCTTTTTGTATTGGTTCACAGATTCACATTGAAGTTTGACCTTATATTTATTTTCTGGTCTGACCCAGTTTGACCTTCTCAATCCACCAACTCTCTTTAATCCCCATTCCCATCCTTCATTTAAGAACACTGTGTTCAATAGCACAGTTGCAGCTGCAGCTTGGGCGGTCATTTATGGCTTTTCTTCATCTTCAAACCTGACAAAGCCGTTTTCTCATTCATCACTCTCTTATCTCTTCTCTTCTTCATCCTTTTCAAGACGTCTTAAATCGACCTGCAAGTGCCTACTTCCTACTCAATCAAATCCTCAACCAGACATGTAAATAACGTGATATTGACGCTGTTACTGATACAATATACGTTCAATACGATTGGTTTCACTTGAGGACTTTTTCTGTTTATCATCAAACCTCTTTAATGCTCACCATGCAAAAGTTTTGAGAGTTTCTTGCATTCGCAAAAATGGCTATGGCTATGGCGACGTTAAAAGTACAATTCATTTTTTCTCTTTTTATCGTTGTTTCTATGTGTTTTTTACATGGGAATGTCCAGGGTTCAGAGTTTTCAGTTCTTGTGGAGATAAAGAAAGCGTTTTCAGAGGATGGAAATGTTCTACAGGATTGGAATGAAAGCAACCGAAATTTCTGTACATGGAGTGGCGTAACCTGCGGGCTGATCAACTCGGTTGACGGCTCGGTTCATGTTGTGAGTCTAAACCTTTCTGGCTTGTCACTCGGTGGTTCCGTTTCTCCCTCGCTCGGTCGTTTGCAAAACCTGCTCCACCTTGATCTTTCTTCCAACAGCCTCACGGGTCCCATTCCAACTGCTCTTGCAAACCTTTCTTCGTTGGAATCTTTGCTTCTTTTCTCCAACCAACTCAGTGGAACAATTCCGACTCAACTCGGCTCGCTCACGAACCTCCGAGTATTGAGACTCGGTGACAATGAGCTTAGTGGTCCCATTCCTTCCTCTTTTGGTGGTCTTGTCAATTTGGAAACTCTTGCATTAGCGTCATGCAGTCTCAGTGGACCGATACCGCCAGAACTGGGTCAGCTGACTCAGCTTGAGAATTTAAACTTGCAGGAGAATCAATTCCAGGGGCCGATTCCTGCTGAGTTGGGAAACTGTTCGAGTCTGTTTAGATTCGCGTCAGCTAATAACAATCTCAATGGCTCAATCCCAGCTGAATTGGGTCGTCTCAAGAATCTCGAGCTTCTCAACTTGTGTAACAACAGTCTTTCCGGGGAGATACCGAGCCAACTCGGTGAGCTGAGTCTACTCACCTACTTGAATTTCATGGGTAACCAGCTTGAAGGTCCAATCCCGAAGTCGTTAGCCAATCTGGGTAATCTTTATAATCTCGACTTATCGTTTAACAGGCTCAGCGGAGGCGTTCCGGAAGAGTTCGGCAAAATGGGTCAGCTTGTTTATTTGGTTTTATCAACTAACAATATATCCGGTACGATTCCAAGAAGTTTATGTTCAAACAATACCAATTTGGAGAACTTGGCGTTGTCAGAAATTCAACTTTCTGGTGAAATTCATGTGGAATTGAGCCGGTGTCAATCGCTAAAACTTCTGGATTTGTCCAACAATACTCTCAATGGATCAATCCCAATTGAGATTTTTCAGTTGGCTGAATTGAATTACCTATATCTCCACAACAATAGCTTGGTGGGTTCAATTTCTCCATTCGTCGCTAATCTCAGCAACCTGCAAGAACTTATACTGTTTCATAACAATTTGCAAGGGAAGCTGCCTGGAGAGATTGGGATGCTTGGAAAGCTGCAAGTTTTGTATCTATATGATAATCAGTTATCTGGAGAGATTCCTGAAGAGATTGGCAATTGTTCAAGCTTACAAATGATTGATTTTTTTGGAAACCGTTTCAGTGGGGAGATTCCAGGCACTCTTGGGAGGTTAAAAGAGCTGAATTTTCTTCACTTGAGGGAAAATGAACTTCTTGGTCCAATTCCCGCCAGTTTGGGTAACTGTCAGCAACTGCAAACCCTGGACTTGGCCGACAATGGTCTCACTGGTGGCGTTCCTGAAACTTTTGGGCGTTTGCAGGCTCTGAATCAGCTCATGCTTTACAACAATTCACTTGAAGGTAATCTTCCTGATTCTCTGATCAATTTAAGAAACTTGACCAGGATAAATTTCTCCAGGAATAGATTGAATGGTAGCATAGCTGTGTTGTGTAGCTCGCATTCTTTTCTATCTTTCGATGTCACAAACAATGCATTTGATCATGAGATTCCTCCTGAGTTGGGGAATTCACCGTCTCTCGATAGGTTGAGATTGGGGAACAACAAATTTAGTGGGAAAATCCCATGGACTCTGGGGAAAATTCGTGACTTGTCGTTGTTAGACTTCTCAGGCAATTCACTCACTGGTCCTATACCGGAACAGCTTTTGTTGTGCAAGAAATTGGCACATATTGATCTCAATAATAATCATTTATCGGGGCCTATTCCTTCGTGGCTTGGAAGTTTGCCTCAGTTGGGTGAGCTGAAGCTCTCCTTGAATCAGTTTGTTGGGTCTATTCCTAGGGAACTTTTCAATTGTTCGAACCTGCTTGTGCTTTCTCTTGATGGCAATTTGCTTAATGAGAGCCTGCCTGATGAGGTTGGTAACCTGGAATCGCTTAATGTTTTAAACCTGAATGACAATCTATTTTCTGGGCGAATCCCTCCCGCCTTAGGCAAACTTAGCATGCTTTATGAGCTTAGGCTCTCGAATAACAGCTTCAATGGTGAAATTTCTTCTGAGCTTGGACAACTTAAGAATCTTCAGAGCATTTTAGACCTCAGTCACAACAACCTCACTGGCAAAATCCCGCCTTCTATTGCAACTTTGTCGAAGCTTGAAGCGCTCGATCTTTCTCACAATCAACTAGATGGAGAGGTCCCTCCACAGGTTGGTGAGATGATTAGTTTGGGCAAACTCAATCTGGCTTATAACAATCTTCAAGGCAAATTGGGCAAACAATTCTCCCACTGGCCAGCTGCGGCATTTGCAGGAAATCTTCGTCTTTGTGGTAGCCCTCTTGATCGCTGCAATAGCCGTGTGCACAACCAGCAGCCCACCATAAGTGAGTCATTGGTTGCAGTGATCTCAGTAATTTCAACATTAGCTGCAATTGCTCTGCTGATAGTTGTAGTTGCTCTTTTCTTGAAACGCAAGCGAGAATTTTTTGGCAAGGGAAGTGAAGTGAACTGCACTTACTCTTCCAGTTTTTCACAAGCACAGCGAAGACTACTCTTCCAAGCTGCAAAGCGCGATTTCAAATGGGAAGACATCATGAAAGCCACAAACAATTTAAGCAATGATTTCATTATCGGTTCAGGAGGGTCCGGAACAATCTACAGAGCTGAACTGTCTAATGGAGAAACGGTGGCAGTTAAAAGAATTGCCTGTAAAGATGATCTTCTACTGAACAAAAGCTTCACAAGAGAAATTCAGACACTCGGAAGGATAAGGCACCGGCATCTAGTGAAACTGATGGGTTATTGCTGCAACAAAGCAGCAGGTTCAAATCTGTTGATATACGAGTTCATGGAGAATGGAAGTGTGTGGGATTGGCTGCACAAACAAGCGGAGAATGCCAAGAAGAAGAAGAGCCTTGATTGGGAGGCGAGGTTGAGGATAGCAGTGGGATTGGCTCAGGGAGTTGAGTACCTTCATCATGACTGTGTACCAAAGATTGTTCACAGGGACATCAAATCTAGCAATGTGTTGTTAGATTCAAACATGGAGGCACATCTGGGGGATTTTGGACTGGCAAAAGCTCTTGTTGAGAACTACGACTCCAAAACAGAATCAAATTTATGGTTCGCTGGGTCCTATGGTTACATTGCTCCAGGTAATGAATCTGTTTTAGCTTTGCTATAAACTAATGCTAGTGCTTTCGAGTTTGTCATGTCATAAATCCTAACGAATATTTTGGTTGTGTTTTCAGAGTACGCTTATTCACTAAAGGCGACAGAGAAAAGTGATGTTTACAGTCTGGGAATTGTGCTAATGGAGCTTGTTAGCGGGAAAATGCCAACTGATGCAACCTTTGGGGAGGAAATGGACATGGTGAGATGGGTGGAGAAGCATTTCGAGATGTCAAGCTCTGAACGTGAGTACCTGCTCGATGCTCAAATGAAGCCACTTTTACCTGGTGAAGAATGCGCAGCGTATCAGGTGCTAGAAATAGCACTGCAATGCACAAAAACTGCACCACAAGAGAGACCATCGTCCCGGCAAGTGTGTGATAACCTTGTGCATGTATTTAACAATAGGATGTTGGACTTCGGCAAGATGACATAGATTCTTTTACATTGCTAATGGAGTTTGATTGATGAATGTCAAGGTTTGATGTCAAATAAGGAGAGTGGGAAAAAAAAAAAAAAAAAAAAAAAAAATTTAGAGCAATCTTTGATTTAGTAGATTTTTGGAGTAGTAACCTTCGTTGCAACGATGATGTTCTGATGCTTACAAAGCATATCTTAGCCCAGATGTAACATTAGACGTCTTCAGGATATAAAATGTAAATTGGAATTGCTTGCAAAATGACAGAAGGTATTTTCAAGAGCTCCTAATTTTTTCCTAAAATCGGCATTTCTTCAGTTTACACATACCTAAACATTTTAAGAAACCTTCTTGTGTATCTTTGATAACCATCCAGATGCACTGCTATAGAGTTTTAAAGACCTTAATATATTCATATTCAATGAAAAATTACAGATGAGAAAATTTCGCCATAGCCTCACTTATTAGGGAAGGTACATCAGTCTGTTGACACCAGAAGTAGCACAAAGCTTATGACTTGCAGAAGCTAAAAATTTCAACAGCCTTACAAAGAAACAGAGAAAATATGCAAACAAGTGTGTAAAAAGCCATGAATTAACACTTTGAAGGTCACATGTTCTGCAATACGGAAATCTTTTCTAAAGATGCCACAATCCATGTGTGCAAGAAAACTATTCGTCATCTTCATCTGCAAATCAAATTAAAAGGCAAGCAAATGAAAAAAGAAGTAAGCCATCAAAGTTATGCTAGGTAATCAGTAACAGAATTCAGTATATCATATGAGTCAGCTCACACGAAAAGGAAGAATTTAGACAAAGCAATGAAGCAGCATAATAATGAATGCTTTTGCAACTGAATTTGAAAAATATTCGATGCTTTGATGGCAATGAAAGGAACTTGCTCATATTTTTTAAATAAAGCCATGAAATGAACCAAAGAACTATGAAAATAACGGTTATAATATAATCTTTAAAACACCAATATTATGATGTTTGTGATAAGCTAAACATGAGAATGTGTGCACATATATGAGCAAACAGGTGGCTCGAGAATACATGCAAGCATAATACTGAGACTAGGTTCAAACTGCCAGTCAGGCTGGTAACTTGGACCACAAAGTGGTGCCGTTCTTCGATTGGACTAGTTAGGATCTTCGAGAAAAAATCCAATCATTTAGGAATGCCACGGCAAACAGCATGATACTTGTGTGGCTACAAGTATTCCATTATAATGGACAATCCTCACTTTTCTAGGGAGCAATTTTGATATCCTTAATTCAATTTGTTCAGTAATGCAAGTTGAAGGACGAGCATCATGTTAGATGAAGAGGTAAAAGGGCCAAATACACACAGAAAGGTCCAAAGAAATATAGAGAGGATTTATGGTACAAAGAGAAAGAAAACTTGTTATTTCTACAATCATCATAGGCTATGGTCATCTTGGTTAGTAATTAAATTCCATTATTATTTCAAGTAATTCTGATAGCTTTCTCTTATATATATCAATTCTATAGTACAATGGATGGTCTCAGGCTGCAAAGGCCTTTGTAGAAGCCTAATACAAGTTGTGGCCAGATCACAATAGTTCAACTCTAACCTAACTTAAACTCACACGCCAGTTCACTGAAAGCTCAAGTCAGGCTAGATTTTGGTCAGGTTCATACATCCTAGTTGCAAACCCCACAATTATTCCCAGAATTCTTATATCACCTTTCTAGTACCTCATTTAACTATGACCGTCCAAACAATGCAAACATTGAGCCCAACATACAGTTGTGAAAAATGAATCAAACACATAGTGTTATATGATTCATCACAATGCTGGTACATAAAATGTTAATTAACACCAAGGCAATCACTCTTCATAATTTTCACCAGCAACTAATTTCTGTACAGGAGCAAACCAAACATAAGAAAGCTACTAATAGTATGTACCCCAGTACACCAAATCCAAAACAACTTATTCCTTGAGTAATACACAGTATAAACATACTTATTGCTAGAAATACCCATACTACTTCCAATGTAAAGACTCCGAATTTCACAATCCACAGAACAGTTTCAACATATCAATTGCATCAGTAGAAATCAAACATAAAATCCAAGCATTTCTAATCACAATTTCAAAACATAAACCAAAAATTCTCACAAGGGCATAAAAATTTTCAAGATTCTATTATATCAAAAAGAACTTCAAAATCCTGTTAGTTTACCAAAGCAACAGATCTTGTAGGAAACCTTGTGAGAATACTCTGAATATTATGGATCCCAATTTCACAATCATTTCAATACAACAACACTCCATACACTATCAAAACCTCAATCTAACACTAAAAACAAACATTGCTAACCACATTCTCAAACCATACAATGAAAATAATCACATAGACATTCAAATATTTCAAAATTCTAATAAACCCGAATCAACTTCAAACACCCAAAAGAAAGAAATAACTCATTTACCAAAGTAACTAATATTAAAAAATTTCCACTGAACATTTCAAATACAAAGACTCAATCACCATCCAAATAAAAAATATGAACATTTGAATTGCATTATTATTAATCAAACATAAAAAAGAATCATGTTTAACCACAGTTTCAGACCAGACACTAAAATTCCTCACATGACCATTCAAAAGTTTCATGATTCTACAACACATTGAAATTCAAACACCCAAAAGAAAGAGAAAAAAAAAAAAAAACTTACCGAAGTAACGCCGCTCATTGGCAGCCTTGGCCTTTTCGAGCATCTTATCGAGGTCTTGCTGAAGCTGAGCATCCCATTTCACCAACTGGTTCACAAACACAGCTCCCAATCCCATACCCAACACGTGTTCCCAAGGATCTACAATTTAAAAAAATAAAAAAAAAACCTCAATCAATCAATTAGTTAAATTAAACAAACATACATACAATTAAAACTANAAAAAAAAAAAAAAACTTACCGAAGTAACGCCGCTCATTGGCAGCCTTGGCCTTTTCGAGCATCTTATCGAGGTCTTGCTGAAGCTGAGCATCCCATTTCACCAACTGGTTCACAAACACAGCTCCCAATCCCATACCCAACACGTGTTCCCAAGGATCTACAAATAACAAAAAAAAGAAAAGAAAACGTCAATCAATCAATTAGTTAAATGAAACAAACATACATACAATTAAAACTAGGGTTTGTTGAAAGAGAGAGATTCAACGAGTAACATACGCCTCATATAAGGCAGTTTACGAAGTGCATTGGAGTACATCTGGGTCCCCAATCCCAGTAGTGCTCCGATCATCGTCGCACTCCACGCCATTTTTGCTTTCTTTGTTTTTGTTTTTACTTACCGCTGTTGAGAGAGACTGGTTCTGGCAGCGAGTCCTGCTTAATGTTTATCATCAAATCAACTCTCGGGCAAAACGACCCGACCAATAGGAGATATATCCGGGCCGGCTCAAGGCCCAAATTAGTAATTATGGGCTGGGGTATTACCCAGACCAGAATCGGGCCTTGCAGTAGGCCCAAAAGACTCCGATCTGCGTTTTATTTCGCAAGATTATTTGTTTAAAAATTCTTCCATAAAAACTTAAAATATTGTGAATAATGCTCAGTATTTGTCAGATGACATCATGAAACCATCTCTAAGACTTCATTTTTGATAAATTTTGGAACCATATGGACGTTTCTATGATTCTATCTTTGAAATCAACGTTAGGTAACTTTTAATAAATTTACTTCTTATAATAATTCTAATGAGTTTGTATGAATAATTCGAAACATAATATAATACTCTATATATAAAATCTGCATATAAAATGATCTAACATAAAATGAATAAACAAATATTCAGTAAATTAGATGAATGATCTGGCAACAAAAGAATTATATTAAATTAGTTTTTATATATAAGATTTCATATATATAGTTTATATAAATAGCATCAATATATCGATGGAGCAATAAAGATGAATGGTGAGTGTTGTGCAATCAATCTTTGAAGCATAGATTAACCGTCATTTGTCATTCTTTTTAAGTTAACTTTATTTACAAATGTGTCATTGTAACAGTATATAAGTATATTTTTTACTCAAATTAAGGATATAATTTTGATTAATACTTTGTAAGCCGTATCTGTGTACGGAGAAAACACAAAAAGTAATAAAAGAACAATAGACGTATGATTTGTACCTAACATTTGAACCACTTTAAAAATATTTTATCTTTGTTATTGTCTGATTTTTTATTCATCTATTAATCCAGTATCGAAATCATGAGTTACAAACACCTACATAGATTTCATCACGCATACATCTCGTTGATGCAAATTACAGTGTCAAACAGTAATTATAATGGCATTTGTGCATTAAATGATACAAAATGACAGCAAAAATGCTTTAAGAAGTTTCCATTTTCGTTTTCAGTGTTACCAAAGTTTGGCTGTATTCAACATTGGCATAATCAAGCCAAATTTGGAAACAGCTATTTCTTTGGCCAAAAACACTTTGAATTATTTGGTAGCATCACATGAAAATATTATCTTTCAAAATCAACACTCCCATCCATATCCTTTAATTGCGCCAAATTTTTCTCTAAATTGATGACTAAATTAGAAGAATCCATTTCTACTTTGACACAACTTACTATATCATTTTCTCTTGCATTAATTTTTTTTTTATTTTTTTTTTTGTAAAACAATTACAACACTTTATGATTTATTATTAAGATGAAGAAATAAGTGGTTTTTTTTTTTAATAAAAGTACTTTATGTTTCTTTGATAACTATTTATAAGTAATTTATATTAAAAAAATTTCTTTTAATTAAACAATATAAGAAGGAGGCACTTATCAAGTACTAATTTATGAAGCATTGAAAATGCTTCTATTGCTTTAAAAAAAAAAAAATATTTGTTCATTTCATCCAACTACTATACAATATAGGGAAAAAAAAATCAATTGTCATATTTGAGTTATAATTATGTAATAAGTACTATACAATGATATAGAAATATAGAGAGAAAATGAATGAAAATGAGTTAACTTTTTGTATTCACTATCTTATTCATTTTTTGTCATATTCAGTTTATATAAAAATCTTTGTAAAATTTGTTTGTATGTCTGATATTTAAAACTTTAAGAATAATACATATATATAAACTGAGTGTTTTAATGTGATTGGGTGATGTGCGCATTAGTTTCTAAGAATAATTGTATAATTAGTTGTTATATAGATGTAGGTGATCACTTCAAAAAGACCATGTTTTTTTTTTTTTTGGTTACGGGGGTGTTCAGGCTAATTTATGCGTACCAATTAGTCATGACTTGAATAAGACTTCTGAAACAAGACAAACTCTACCATCTATAGTAATAATATAATAAACGTTTTTTGTGATTCGACCTAAGATCACATGGTAAGCAAAAACTTGGCCTCAAGCCTTTCCTATTTGGCCAAAAAGACCATTGTTACCATATACTTTGTCCTAAAAATATGTTTGTTATATTTTACACTATAATATAATAATAATAATCAATAAAGATGAATCAAGCCATACAGTATGTGTATAACTAAATTAACATCCTGAAAAACAGTCAAAGTCAAAAGCATTAAAAAGAGCTCTATATTTAGTATCCACACCCTGCGACGGCGCTCTTCTCTCTGTCATCTCTCTCACTTTCTCTCCTCTTCTTATCATGGACCCTACCTTCTCAACGGGCAATCTTAACGCTCTCAAACCATCGCCCACACTCTCCCCTTTCGCTCCATCAACCTTTTCCTCTTTCTCTTTATCAATCTTTTCTTCCGTTTCGGTTTCCGTTTTTGGTCCTTTTTTAAGCTAAGTTTGCGCCTATTTTGGGAGGAAAAATTAGCTGCCTATGTTTAGCAAATGACAGTGCAAATGGGGTCCGAGTTTTAGTTGTGGTTGAGAATTTATTTTGCAAAAACTCAACGGGTTTCGATCGTAGAAAAAGAGATTGGTTTTAGTGATTGTTATTTTCCTTTGTGAGGTTGGGTTTGTTTTCCCTCTCCCCACCCGGTTTGTTTTTTCGAACATGGGTTGTTCTTGTTTTTGTCGAGTTTTTTTTTTTTTAATTTTGATATTTAGTTAAATGGTAGAGTTTTCGAAATTTGTTTGCAAATCACTCTTTTTTTAATGGCTTCTTCTCAAGTTGAATTCACTTCGTCTTCGCCGCTTGATTGTGTTTTGAGAGACCATAATAGCAGGGGAGATAGATGCAGAGATAGCAATGACAGAGCCGCCGCGTTTAAGAAGAATCTTAAAGAGCTGGTCCTGGATCATTTTCAGAATTGTATTAGCGTCTCCGCTGATGAAAATTCCCAGAATTCACTGGGTAAAATTGATTCCTGTGGTGCTAATGACCAGGGGAATGGTAATCAGAACCATCACCACCATCGAAATTTACGGTTTCTGAGTAGTAATTATAGCAGGAGTAACAGGCATAAGAGGAGTAATGATGATTCTAACATAAATTATTCCTCCAAGCAGTGGCGGATTCATGATCAGTGGGCTGCGAAACAGGCTCGAGATATGGTGTCAAATATTGAGAAACAGAGTCAAGAGGCAGAGCTTTTGGGTTCATCAGGAACACCAACTTTTAATGGAGAAAGCTCAGAGAAGTCTCCAAATATTGGAAATCCTGGAGATCCTTCTTTGGTTCAGAAGTCTCCAAGTATTGGAAAACCTGGTGCTTCTTCGCTTGTCCAGATGTGGGAGGCGAGGCTTAATCGATCCAACAGTATGAAAATAAACCACAGCTGGGAATCAAACCCTAGTAGAGCAAGTTCAGGACTTTGCAACAGTGAAAATGGTGAAAATCCTGAAAATGTTGAGAATAATGTTGAGAGTAATGTGGAGAATGCATCTTCTGGTGTTGATGAATCTGAAACTGGTGATTCTTCAACTGATTGGGAGCAGCAATCTGATAGAACAGCGGTGAGTGAACCGCCTGCTGGAACGGCTTCGGATGCTGGAGAGAGGGAAAGGCTTCGAGTTGCTGATATTATAAAGAAGTTGACGAGTGGTACGGATGAAAATGATGGCGAAATGGTTTTGAATGCAAGCGAATCGTCATCCAAAGAGCGAAGAAATACTCCTATGCCGGATCAGGCAGAGCAAAGAGATAAAAAATGCCTTTCAATGGCGGTGAATTCGCCAAAAATTAGAGGGCGACAGGCTTTTAATGATTTGCTTTTGCAGATAGAGCGCGACAGGCTTCGGGAGCTTGATTTACTGGTGGAACGTCATGCAGTCTCAAAATTTACACATCGTGGACGCATTCAAGTAATACTTCATTCTTTTCATCAGCAATTGCTTGTTATATACTCCTTATAATTCTTACCTTTTTGATTCACAGTGACTGATATTCTATGGATTGATTAATGTGCAGTCGATGCTTCGGATTAGATTTCTGCAACGGGGCCTGGCAATTCAAGATCAACAGCGTCCAAAATCAGCTGAACCTCCAGTGAACCGGTTATCGCAAGGGTCTTCAATAATGCATCTCAGGTACATAATTAATCCTTTTCCATTTTTGTTCTTCAGAGGGCCTTTATTGGATAGCTACTTTGGAATTCAAATGTTCATAAAAGCTTTAGTTTTAATGATTTATAATGATAGAATCAATCAGTTCTCTTTATTATTTGGAAGCTTTAGATTGTGGCTTAATTTTCAAATTTCACTGACATTAAATTTGAATCAAATGCAGGAAGAAATTTAACTCAGGTGTTGAGAATAGAGTCACATCCCAAAGTGATGCAAGTAATTCGAAAAGCTCTCAATCAGAGATGGCAGGCAACATGGAAAATATGAACAATTCTTCTCTGGCCAATCGGCTAGGTGAAAACAGTCAGAATCAGGAAGCTGCCACTGTTGGGAAACAAAGTACAGCCAAAATTGAGCACTCAGAACCGCAAACAAGCCATCAGGATCAGCAGAAAGAGTCCAGTCCAAGAAAAAATGTGGAGACTGGTGAACTAACAAAAGCCTTGAATGGTCAGAATAGAAGTGAAATAGCTGAAGGTCAAGAGGCTACTCGCTGGCAGCCTATTCATTTTCACTCCTTGAATGATCAGAATGGACGTGAAATAGCTGACAATCAAGAGGCTTCTAGCCGGGAGGATGTTCATCTTAACTCACAAGAAAATTCAGAAAGGATAACATCATTGAATGTTCGGGATGAGAATGAGATTGCAGATCATCAAGAGGTCGATGACAGGTGCCTTGACTCGCAAGAAACTTCCGAAAGAGCAGAATCCTCGAACCATTGGGATGGCAATGAGCTAGTAGAAGAAGAAGTGGAAGAAGAAGAGACCTATGAGCAGGGCCAATTTATAGATACCAATTCTGATTGGATAAGTGAAATATCACGCCCTCGAAGTTATTGGGAAGATCGCAGGAAAGAATGGTACCAAGAGATGCTAAGTAGCAGATCAGAAAATAATGAGATACGCCAACTCCTTGAAAGGTATAATGAATGTAACTTGAATGGAAATTTTATCAATTCTATGGTTGCCACAACTTGAAAGTTTCCAATTTATGTATGCAGAAGGAGGGTATCAAGTTATCTTTCCAGTGACTTCCGAGAAACAATGGATCAATTGATGAGTACTCGTGTCGAAAGACAGATCGAGCTAGAGGCTTATGAAGAAGAACAACATGAAGAGTTGAGTCGTGAGCGAATAAGCGAATTGTTGTTGGATCACTTACAGAGGAACATGCATTCAGCAGTTTCTCAAGAAGAAGAACAAGTAGAAGAAGAAGAAGGGAATGAGGCAGAACAAGTAGATGAAGAAGAGCAAGAAGAGGAGGAGGAGGAGGAGGAGGAGGAGGAAGAAGAAGAAGAGGAAGAAGAAGAAGAAGAAGAAGAAGAAGAAGAAAGTCCAATAAGTCATGAGGAGCATGAAACAAGTGATTATTTTGATCAGTCCTCACAAACAATGCAAATTACTTCTCCCTCAGCAACTCCATCATGGAGTTATCAAGGTCAAGAAGTTGTTGACGAATCGGATCAGACTGAATCCCAATCAACTCGCCGACCTTTGCCATCTCAAGCTTACTATCTTGATGGTCAGCTGTCGTCTTCCTCGACAAATCATCTTTCATTTGTGAGTTTTACTTCACTCATAATTCTCCCCTATGAACGTCTGCTCAATTCTGAAAGTCAAAACTTAAATTCTTGTTACTTACAGGAAATGGAACTTATATATGGTTTAAGAGGACAACTGGAACAACTCCACCGAGAGATGCGTGAGCTGAGAAAATCTATAAACAGTTGCATGAACATGCAAGTGAAATTGCAACATTCCAATCCACAGGAAGTTCATTCAGGTGATGTTCTTATCAATTTCTCTATTTCTCATTCTATAAATGGCGGTTCTTAATAAATGAATTATGAAATTGTTACAGTAGGAGGAATGGGAAACAATCAACCTGATGGGGCGCCAAAGAAACGCTGTTGTTGTATTTGCTATGAAATGCAGGTCGACTCACTTCTTTATAGGTACGTCCTTCATCGAATTCCGATCTCCATTTCGATAAATTTATGATACCAGATTATATAAATAACACCCTTTAACCATGCTAATTAACTGTATCAGTATCATACAATGAGTAACCCTTCGTTTTTTCGAAGATAAAAATTTATAATGTTGAACAGATGCGGGCATATGTGCACCTGTCTGAAATGCGCCTACGAGTTGCAGTGGAGTAGTGGAAAGTGTCCGATATGTCGCGCGCCAATAGAAGATGTTGTGCGCGCATATATGGATTCATAAGACGACCCCATGAACGAGTTCTTGCTCCAGAGGACCGTCATCGCCAAAAACTTAATACATGAAGCATGAATTGGATAACACATGGAAGTTCTTCTTCTTTGCTTTCTTTGTTTTATCTACTTACTACCTAATTAACCCTTGTATATTCCAACTTGTGATCTGACCTCGAAACCTTGGTTTTCGTCTTTGCACATATAACCTTTTGTATGTTTTTTGAAGAGAGACTATTGACTCTATTCATATATATAAATAACAACAATCTCTTCCCTACAAACTAAGTTCCAAAACTTTTTTCCTTTTGGAAGTGTTCTTTGTTTGTTATAATATAAATTCTGGGTTTTCCCTACGGATATTTGTTTTTCAANTATTCCAACTTGTGATCTGACCTCGAAACCTTGGTTTTCGTCTTTGCACATATAACCTTTTGTATGTTTTTTGAAGAGAGACTATTGACTCTATCCATATATATAAATAACAACAATCTCTTCCCTACAAACTAAGTTCCAAAACTTTTTTCCTTTTGGAAGTGTTCTTTGTTTGTTATAATATAAATTCTGGGTTTTCCCTACGGATATTTGTTTTTCAATATGGTTTTTGGATTATTTAAAATGTGTGACATTAAGTGTATATATGGTCTAATATTGAAATACTGTAACATTATTCAGATTTCTCTTTTGGTATTTGGCCAAAACAGTGGAAAACAAAGAAACTTACAAAGAACTATCTATCTCCCATGAAAAAAATTTGAAGTTGAAAGTTTACACTTATGGTTAAAGGCTGTGTTCATATCACATTGCAAATTAATCTTAATTCGGCTGCCTTCTACGTCTTGCCATTGCCTCATTGGCAAGAAAGTTAACTCTAATTTTCAAGAGTCTGTTTACTGCTTCTTTAATGTTGATCCTTTCCTCAGGTGATTCTCTTGTACACTCCATAGCCAAACTCAAGATAGATGAAACACATTCCTCCTTTTTAGAGAATTGTTCATCATCCATTAGCAAATTGGTGTCCACTACTTTCATCACTGTTTCACATAAAGAGTCACCAACCCAGCTCCTTAAGCTCATTTCTTCGGTAAATATTTCATCAATTGGCTTTTTCCTTGTAAATGTTTCCATTACCATTATACCAAAGCTGTACACATCTCCATTTTTAGATACTCTTCCTTCTCTCCCATACTCTGTTCATCATGATGACACTTCTGTTGTAAGATAAATTATAATATTGTTTGCAAGAAAATGAAAAATCAATGAGGTATTATGCATATCTACAGGCTACAACAACAATATTGAATATTAGATAATGAATTACCTGGCGCCATATAGCCAATAGTGGCAAGGGTCTGTGTTTGTGTCATAGACTTTTCTTCACCTAAGAGCTTTGAAATGCCAAAATCGGTCAAATGTGCAACCATATTCTCATCTAGTAAGACGTTGCTTGGTTTTAAGTCGCAATGAACAATCAGGGTTAAATAACCAAAATGGAGATATTCCAAAGCTGATGCAACATCAATCATTATGTTCAGCCTATGTGAAATATCCAGAACATTGTTGTCAGAATACAAACACTGCTCCAGGCTCCCATTGGGCATGTACTCCAGTATCAGTGCTTTAAAATCATCATTTGAACAACAACTGATGATTTTGACAAGGTTTCGGTGACGAATGCTACTCATTACTTCACATTCAGCTTCAAAACTCGTTACAGCTTCTTCAAAATCCAGGTGGAATACTTTTACTGCAAGCTCCATCCCATCATCTAATCTTCCTTTGTAAACTGAACCGAAACTCCCCTTGCCAAGTAAGTTGTTCTCACTGAATCTATCTGTTGCTCTCACAAGTTCATGGTAAGAAATTCTTCTCCATGACTTTCCTGGTGACGTGTTGACAATACTAGGTAACTTTGTGCCCTTTTTTCGTCATTTCAACAATACAAATAAAAGAACTAGGACAACTAATGTGAGCACAGTGCTTAGTGGCAAGACAATTAGGAGAACTTTTGTTTTTTGATGGGTTGTCCTTTTGCATGGTGGAACTTTTAGTTGGGGGGAACCACACAATGCAAAATTCCCCATAAATGATTCAGCTGAGAAGTTTGCAAAACATCCTCTTGTAGGAATTTCTCCTCTTAATTGGTTGAAAGACAAGTTTAGATATTTGAGGTACAAGAGGGCCTCCAAAGACTTTGGGATAACTCCTGAGAGATTGTTACTAGACAAATCCAAAAATTCTAAGCTTATCGAGTAACCAAATGATTCGGGAACGGAGCCTTGTAATTTATTATAGCCCAAGGAAAGATATTGTAGATTTCTTAGGCTTCCAACAGTAGGAGGAATATCACCTAACAAAAGATTCCTTGATAAATCTATATTTATTGCAACCTTTAGATTTCCAATGTCTGAGGGAAGAGAAGCATTTAGGGAATTTGATGACAAATTCAGGTACAAGATATCCTTAAGCTTCCCCAAAGTTGAGGGTATAACAGAAGTTAACATGTTGAAGCCTAATGATAGTCTTCTCAGTGTAGAGAGATTACCCAAGCATGGAGGTATTGAACCGGAAAGCTTGTTACCATCCAATTGCAACTCAACCAGTGAGTTCAAATGACAAAGATTATCAGGGATGGATCCTTCTAATTTATTATTTTGAAGATACAAACCTTGGAGTTTGTGCAATGCATTGATCATAATAGGAACTGATCCAATCAGTTCATTGTCTTCCAAGTGTAAATCTATCAAGTTGTTTAAGTTGTTTATTTCTTTGGGAATGTTGCCACTAATGTTGCATTCATTCATGTATAAACTTTCCAAAGAACGAGGAAGATTTCCTATGGAACTTGGAAGGATGCTATTCAATGGATTTCCTGTTAATTCTAGATGTTTCATATTCGTGCAATTTGTCAGAGATGAAAGAAAGCTCAGATCTTGAGTAGAAGATGTGAAATAATTATAATATAAGACAAGCCACTCAAGATATCTTAAATTACCAATTGCACTGGGAATGATGCCTGAGAATGAGTTCAGTCCCAAATTTAGAACAGAGAGCTTGGAAGCATTGGTGATGAAACTGGGAAATGGCCCGCTGAAATTATTATCCGCCAAGTAAAGCATCTCAAGATTTGGAAGCTCTGTAGTTGATGGAAGACTTCCCGTGAGTTCATTTTCCATAACTGAAAGTATTGTCATTGTTGAGATGTTGAAGACAGTTGCAGGGACAGGGCCAACTAGGCTGTTAAATTCAAGTTGCAAAATCTCTAGATTACGAAGATTACCAATTTCGTATGGTATCCCACCTAAAAATATGAGCACCCAATTAGCGAACTAATGACAACAAATAGATAATTCTTTCATAATTAATAACATAAAATTTTGAGAGAGGTTGGTCATGTACCTTTCAATTTGTTCGAGCCAAGAAATAGATAATTGATTAATGTCAAGTTCCCAATTTCTCTTGGAATATGTTCTCTGAATTTGTTTCATCTCCAACGAAACAAAACGAAGCATTGTACATTGCCCCAAACTGTTTGGAATTGGACCAGTGAGCTGATTATGAGACACGTAAAGACCTTCAAGATTAGGAAGATATTGACACATGTTGTCTGGAAGGCTACCGATCAAGCTATTATTCGAGAAGTCCGTGTAAATTAAAGAAGATAGGTTGAAGAGAAGCGAAGGAATAGTTCCTATCAAGGAATTATTTGAGAATGATAATATCTCCACTTCTGCAAGATTGCCAAGCTCTTTCGGAATTTCTCCTACAAAATCAATATTTATATAAAAGCAATCGCTTTGTTCAGAAAATTTGTGAAAAGTAAATTTGTAATAACAGTAATAAACAAGGTTGCATAATACCTTGGAGTTTATTGCTGCCAAGATATACCCACTTAAGCTGAGTCAAGTTTCCAATTTCTTTTGGAATCGCTCTAGTGAAATAATTGAATGACAAGTATAAATACTGCAAAATTTGGCATTTTGATAAAGTGGATGGGATTTTGCCCTGGAACATGTTTTCATGTAGATTAACCGACTGCAAATTGGGAAGATTATCAAAAATGCTTGCAGGGAGTTCACCGGATAATCTATTATAACTGAAACTAAGGTATTTCAGTCGACGTAACTGAGTCAACTCTTCAGGAAGAGAGCCATAAAAGCTGTTGTTTTTTATGTCTATCGTAGCAAGAAAAGATAGATTTCCGAGTTGAGAAGGAAGGGTGCCTGTAAGACCCAAGTGAGAAATATTCAAAGCTGTGACTCTATGGTGACGGAAACCACACCTGATGCCAATCCATTCACAAACAGAGCTACTTGTGGACCAATTAATGCCCAATAACTTGCTCGGATCATGGCTTATACGAGCTTTCAGGGCAAGAAGAGCTTGTTTGTCTGTGGAAATTTTAGTGACTCCTGCCTCAACAAAGGAAAGTGTCAAACAATGAACTAAGAGAGCCAAGAAAACGCAAAGAGAATGGAGTTTCTCCATGAAATTAGAATGTTGTTTTGTTTTAGTGTGGTCTTAGTCACATGTACAAGTATCCGAAAATCAGCCTTATAATTAATAAACTACGAGATGATTAAAAAACTCACCACAACCAATTACATCTATTTGCCGGCTTCAATTCCACACTCTCTTTGCCGGCTATGACCTCTCAGGATATATAGATGGGTCCAAACCTTGTCCACCCTCCACTATCACTCAAAACAACACCACTTTACTGTTAAACAATCCAAAGAAAAAAAAAGAGAGGTTGGGTTTCATTGATACTACACAATGTAATCGAATACAAAAGAATGATTTAACCTAAATACAAAAAGACTATATATAGACTAAACAAAGGAAACTGAAAAGATTATTCTACCCTTAATAAACAATAAAACAAAATAACCCTATATTTCTTAACATGTACCAAATCCTGCTCACAATACCTGGATTAGCCAAGACCAACTAATCCTTAATGCTTTAGTTGGATCTCTTTCTCCCACAATTGTCCCGTTCATTGCTAGAGCCAAAACATCAGAAGAAGCTTGGTTGATCCTGGCAAACTGTTATAGAGTTTCTTCAATTGGTGAAGTGTCGGGCTGATGAACTTGCTATTCTTGGGGCACCAATGGATGAAGATGACCTCACAGACAAAATTCTTGATGGTCTTGGGGATGACTATAAAGAGCTTATACGTGCAATTCAAGCCCGCGATACCATGATCATGTTTGATGAGCTCCACGAAAAGCTTCTAAATTTTGAAGCACCTCTTCAAGGTGCAAAATCTGAACCCTCTCATTTTCCAGCCTCAGGAAATCCTGCAAATCATAACACTACAAGTTGGCGCCCGTCTTTCAACTCTGGTAACACCAACAATAATTGGTGTCCATCAACACACACTAGTAACAACAGTACAGGTTGGCGTCCCTCACCCAATGCCAACAGTCGCTCCCCCGCGTTTCCTAACGTTGGACAAAACTCTTCTCATTCAAATATTTCAAAGGAGATATTCCCAAAGAAATTGGAAACTTGACTCAGCTTAAGAGATTATATGTTTGCTACAATAAATTCCAAGGCATGATATATATGCGACCATTTTTATTGGTGGTTTTTACAAATTTTCTTTTTAGAAATTTATGAACAATACATCTGTTTAATTATATTGATTTTGTAGGAGAAATTTCGAAACAGCTGGGCAATCTTTCTGAATTGGAGCTACTATCGTTAGGAAATAATTCCTTACCAGGAACTATTCCTTCACTTATCTTTCGTTGGAACGACATCCGAAAAACACACAATAATAAAAGCAGAAAAGTAAAGAAGACATGATTTACCTTGGTTCGTTCCAATAAAAGAATTACATCCAACATTCAAATACAGTATTTTTATTGAGTACCAAAAAGCTGCAATAAATACAATATAGTTTACTCTTGCTCTCTATTTTTCTTCACACTAGGTTTCTTACTATCACAAAATGCATATAATAGAAAACCTAATCTCATTTAGGCTTACCCAATCTAACCCGACCCAAGTGCAAATATTAGCAAATTAATACCCAATTACTAATTGAGCTTATCATATGAGTCGGTGTAAGCCAATAATTCTCAAGGTTAAGAGAAATATAAACCATATCCAACATCTTCAACCTTTTTCTTTAATTTACATGAAATTTGTGAATAATAATCAATGTTTTAATAACCAGCCCAAGGTGAAACTCGAGTAAGTGACCGAGTCTCGGGTTGACCGGTTGAACCAGTCTGCCTGGCAGGTCAAACTAGTGATGTCAGTATGATAACATCATCCAACATAAAAAATTGAAAAAAAATTAATCCGCAAAATAAAATCTGAAATAAAAAATACACTATAACAAATACAGTACATCTAAACTGCAAACTGCAAGCTCAAAAGCCAGACCTCTTTTTTCTCTTTTAACGACAGCACAATTTCATCAAAGATCCTCAGGCTATCACTAACTCTCCAGTCTCCACAACGCTTTAGCTCTACATAAAGTAGCTTAGACCACCATCCCTCCACGGAACACCCAAACATATTCCGTGATTATAGTATCAGTATACACCACATTAAAACGCTAGCTCTGTACTAAACTAACAATTCTTCCATCTTTCACCAATTAAACCAATGTACATAAGTTCATAAACTATGCAGGATATTGACTGCATAAGATATGGATGCAATGTTTAACTTTAATACCACTGACGCTGTCTATATGCAGTAATTTTAATTTTGGATTTGCATATTTTCATGGATGCATGAACAACTTTTATTTTTTATTTTTGGTAAGTATGCATGAACAACGTTCTATATTTTGAATGTTGAAATATACCCTCAACTAATAGAATATAATAACACATACTGCTTATGTGAAAAAAGAGAAAAAAAAAAAGGTATTAGAATATAATAACACATACTGCTAATTAAAAGTGTCACTAAGCCATTATTTGAGAGGGAAAAAATCGTTTACTCGTGAAAGATAATAAATAAATAAGAGTTGGGGAGTTTGCCTGCAGTTTGCAAATTGCAGTAGCAAACTTGAAATGCTATTACTTCAATAGGTGTCCCCTTGACATGAATACAACCTTCAAAGGGAAACAATCTTCAAAATGAAACTAATTTTTTATATAAATAGTGCAACCCTAATATTGCAATGCTATTACTTCAACAGGATTAGGTGTCCACATGAATACAGAAAAATTGCATCATTCTACACAGACAGGAATACATTCTTTTTCTTTAAACTTGTTCATTGAAAATGACTTCAAACTTAATCAAATAAAACTTCAGAGACAACCCATTACCTAACCAAAAACTTAATGCAAATCCCAGAACTATTCAAACATCAAGTCTTTGTTTTTGTGACAATAACAAAGCGAGTCATATTCAAGAATTGATGTCCCAATTGAACGAAATAAAGAGTAACACGACAACAAAATAAAGTAAACAAACAAACACAAACAGTAAAGAGAAAAAGTAATATGCGCAATTTTTCCTGGTTCACCCAATGTTGACTATATCCAACAGAGTCAATAATATTTCAATACTGTCTCACCTCTCTCATTTTATAATGAAGTTTCCTATCACTCATTGCAAGAGAAAAAATGTGTTTAAATACTAGATTTAAGAGACTAAACCTAGTTTTACAAGGATTCCTATTCCTAAGCCCAAACTCAATAAGGAATTAATAACTTAAAGAAATCGAAACCTGACAAATCGATTCTAGTTCCGGTTTTGGATACTCGGGTTAATTTCAATTATCCCATTTAAAAAAATAACAAATAAACTCTAAAAAAATTACAGATAAACCCCCAATAATTTCCCCTTGTGAGGGTCAGCTCTGGGTAGGAACTGGAACTGGAACCCTAGGCCCACCATTCTTTTACACACCCCTAGGTGATATGAATTCTTGCAACCTCAATTCATATATCACCCTATTTCAACCAATTTCAACTCAACCTAAGCTAGACTTCACTTGAAACACCCTAACACTATTCGGCTAACACTCTACAAGCACACACAACCATTATAACACCTTAGAACAACCCCTTTTATCAAGCCTCAATCAACACAAACTCATTCCACTTTGAAATGCACAACACAAACTTGGAACACAACAAAATAAACCAACCCGAAAAGTGAGATGAATGGTAATCAAGTGAGATTAACTTACAAGATAGTTAACCAATGGATCAATCAAACCTAAAGGAACTCCACTAGGTTGAAGGATTAATCCACCACCAAGTTTGGTCGAACTTGGGTAAAGGAACTCAAGAGAAAACAATTCTCCAAAGCAAAATACTATTCATGCAATATTCAATGTCTACTTCATGTTATGATAGAGTGGCCTTTAAATAGGCTTTAGAAAACATGGGAATTACTCTAACAAACATTACATGAATATTACGACAAAATATTACACAAAAAATATTAAGAGATAATTCCCTACCATACAATATCAAAAGTGCTAGCCATACCTATTTAATGCTATAGATAACTTTTCCTTAAATTAAGGATCTATGTCCCCAATTATAATTTTCTTGATTATACTTCAACATTTGAACCAAATAGCATCTACAACTTGGGCTTGGACCAATGAAGCTTCTTCTTACTTGATCTCCATGACTTGGGCTACAAAAAATGGCTTGTGCTATGTCTTGGACTCTTAACATCTCTTGGATAAGTTTGTGCGTTTCCTTGAGTGTTTGGGCCGAATGTTGTCTATCTTGGGGTCCTTGAATCTTCAATGAACTCTCTTGTATGTTTAAAGAATATGATGGGCTTGAATTCTCATCACTAGATGACGATACTTAAATTGTTATTCTAAAGATATCATCAACTACTATGTTATTGTGATGGAAGAGATAATATATGTAGTTGAAGCAATGTAGTGGCATAATAAAATGTTACAGTTACACCATTATTCATTGATGACCTAATATTTGGTATCCAACAGGTAAAGCATCTTATGGCATTTTAATAAAGCTGCCGAATTACAAAACCTCAATTATACATCTAACCTCTTTAACTCAATGTTTCCCATATTATATATTTTATTTTATTTCAAAGGTACATTATTAACAATTGGGTTGACGAAGCAATAACATTTCCTTACCTCTTTTAAGAGTAATGTTATGTTTGTAATTGAGTCATATAATTAGATAAAAAATAAAAGATAGAGTAATGATTTTACATAAATTTTGTGCAACTTTTGCCTGATTGTATGACTCATTGTAAGCAAAACATTATTACTCTTTTAAATGTTACTTGATTGTATGACTCATTGTAAGCAAAACGTTATTACTCTTTTAAATGTTACTTGTTTAAAAGAGTAAATGACTTTTTCCTACCCAAATAATGGCTTAATAATACTTTCTCACCCACAGGCTTTTAAAATACCATTTTATTACCCAAATTTATATTCCGTTTCTGATTCCGGTATCGTTGTGACCCCACACCACCATCATTCTCTTTTCCGATTATCATTCATC